CCCCGCAGCCCCTCCGCGGCGAACTGCAGAGCCTCGCCGTCCTTCGGGGAGCAACGGCAGGGGGATAGGCATAGGGGGGATCCATCGACCTCGAATGGCCGATACATCGCCCATGTATCGTCGATACATCGTCGATGCAGACCGCCCCATGCATCGTCTATACATCGTCGATGCATCGCCCAGCTACCAACGAAGCATCGTCGATGTATCAACCATTCGAGGTCGATGCATCCCCCGCCCCCATGCCCATTTCCCCCTGTCGGTGCCCCCGATCCTTCGGGGTTGCCAGAAGTGGTCCTGGCCAAAGGTGTCCCCAGCTCTTCGCGCAATTTCGGAGACCCTTGGGCCCTCTGGGCCTCATGGAAGGGGGGGCTCTGGAAGCCATCTGGGCCACCCTGGGGATCCTGGGGACCCCTGGGCCAGGGGCAGCTTCGGCAGCAACCGAGTCCTGGCGCACGGCAGCGAGCACGATGCCCCTGTCCTGCCTCAAGGGAAGGAAGAACGGCATTATCACGACTGTCGGAGCTCCGAACGGATTTCTTTGGTCGGCGCTGGTCTCCTCGCCCTGGCACGCGGAGCGGCGGAGCGCACCAGTGGCGACGCCAGAGGCGGCGCCAAGGGTGCCCCAGGCGCCGATCCGAAAATCCGCGCAGAGCTCCGAGAAGTGCGTGTGCGTTATGGACTTAGCCCACACAGAGCGAAGGAGGGGTCGTAGGCAGTAAGGCCTACTGGCGGGTCTTCACCGCCATGGTTCCCCACCACATGGATTGGCAATTTATTGAGCCTTAGGCCAGCGTTCCAAAAAGGGTGTACGAGGTGTTGGTGGACGGGCTGGTTGCTACAAACCCATACACGCTTGTGCGTTGTGTCTGCACACACACACACACACACACAGTCTTGGGGACTTGTTCTGGGGTCTGTGTTCTATCGTCTGGGGGACACGTTTCGGCGTTTTGCGCCTCTCTGTCGGCATGGCCCTGATGACTCGTTGTAGCTGGCACTTGGACACATGCTGCGTGATATTTGCGTGCTTGCCTGCTGTGTTCATGGAAAGAGACATGAGGTGGTTCCATTGCCCGTTTCGACGCAGCAGAAGCGGGGCATGCTGCGGTCCCCACCCGTAGGCGAGACGCGCTCTCTCCACCCCGTTTCGGCACGCACCCATGGCTTCGATCGTCAAAGGTTGGGGAAAGGAATCTATAAATATATATCTATATATATATATACACACACACGATTTTCCAGGTGGCCACACGAGCCCGGACGCGACGAACCTCAGAGGCACGCAGATGGCAAGGTCAAGCTTCGGCTGATACACTGTCCTGCGGCACGCTGGACTCGATTGCGAGGACCTGCTCCCGAATCGGAGATTACTTGGGAATGGATATGTGACCTTTGTGATAAGGTTTGGGACCAGGGGCATAGGACCAATAAGCAGCATGCCAAACAAATGGGCTACCTGGGCGACCCAGGCCACGCACTACCAGATCCCATTCGTTACAGCGGCCCCGACACAGCCTTTGGGCCTACGGGTCAAATCCCAACCCGCGGCGCCGGCAGACCCGCCTCGACGCAGCTGGTCCTAGTGGGCGGCAATTGGACGGCAGTGGGCAAATATTGATCTTGACGACGATGCCACCTTCCACATACCCATGGGGTGGCCAGTCACGCAGCTGCCGGTCAGTTACTGGTCCTCCAGCACGTCGGCGGAACTCCTACATTGCAGCACGGACTCACGACACCACCCACAGGTCAGGTGGACGCCACCGCCAGTCAATTCCTGCAGCCTTCTCCCAGCGGCCGCTGCGATAGCATCAAGGGAAACACTATCTGAAACGCAAGCCGAAGAGACGCGTGATGACCAGTCCGAGGCCTCGATCCGTGGCGACACCCCCACCATTTGGAGACCGCCAATGGCAAGGCACTATACAACCGGACTGGACATGCGTGGTGTGCTGGGCGGGTTAGTCACGGTTAGTGCAACAACTGGGATCGCACAGATAAAGGTCGAATGCCAGACGACGAACGGACCAAGCAGCAGAACGATGGGTTGTGACTCCGCCCACATTCGGCCAATTCCATGAACTGCGCCAACACCTACGGGACCAGCAGTGACAAAGGCCCCTCCGCCTTTACCACCAATACCATTGCGCCTGGCACCTCCGCTACTACAAGACGGAGCACTCACGACAGTACACCTCTCACCTGCAGGACAGGCGGTAGCGATCGAGGTGACGATGGCACAGGCTGCCAGGGCATTCCTGCTGGGCCCATGGCACACGATGACACACGGTGAGCCGTTCGGACCCAGCGTGGGCCTGGTCGACGGGGCCTACACCTAGCCGGCCAATTGGCCAACACTCTTGACGTCTTACACGGACGCGCTCGTTAGGTTTGCCAAGGTGGAGCAGAAGTCTGCATTGGGACCAAAATGGTCTTCGCTACAATCAGAAAGGATGCTGAAGGAGACCGGGGTGACGGCACTTTACGTCCGCCTCTGGACATGCGAGTGCGACACGGACATGGCTGAGCTCCACGCCAATTTTCCTGAGCTGCGAAAGATCAACGAATCTTTCAATACGCTCACGGAGACCACGGGAATGCAGCCATGCTCTCTTACCTGGCCGCTGGAATACCAGCCACCAGAGTACCACAGCGCGATATATTGGCGAGCGAGACACACCCACGGCTCAACTACAGATAGTCAATCACATCACTGCGGCCGCCCCGCGATCCAGCGGTGGCGAGGAGCTATCCGAAAGGCAAATGCGTCTTTCACTGGGCACGTGATGGGGACAAGCTTTCTTGGGCCGAGGAGGGCAACGGGGCTCGGAATCGCATCCGTCTGGACAGGGCAGCGGACAATCCATAGCTTCGGAAACTGCTGCGGGGCATCGGCGGTCTTCTACCACAGCAAGCCTGCAGGGTCGCCACACGATACCCATGATGCTGTGTCCGGGGGCTCTCCTCAGACGCACTTTTCCTCGTGAATCAAAAAGAACATCACGTAGAAAACACGGAAGCGCTTCGACGGGCAGCCTCCAGGACCTCAAGGACGACGCTTCCCAATTCCGATGGCTCCCCCCACGGCCCCAACCGACCCCGCTTGACAGGGATGGGCAGAGAAGTACTCGGCAGAGGACCGATGGAATCACAGTGGTACTGTGCTACAACGGGTCGTTGCTACACCAATCGATGAACTCCTTCTGAACACTATGACCGCGCGAGGGACCAAAGGCGATCAGTTCTAAGTAGCGAAGGAGATCAACGCCAACATCATGGCGGCAGTTAAAAGACCACCACACACGGAGAAGACTCTATTCATTGGCGCACTGGCTGAGGCGTGGGCCCTGGTCCGCGCCTCGGGGGCCGTGGTCCTTATCGCCTGCCAATCTAACGCCGCAGCGGACAACGCGGCTGCTGCCTTGATCAAGAAACGGGACGCGTTGTCTTTACCAATAGAAGAAGTGGTCCGTCTGGCATAACCAGAAGCAGTGGTACGCGACGAAGTCAAGCAGTTGACCATCAACGCTCGGCACGAGGCACACGTGCGCGACAAGGGCGACGATGCCATCCACCTCCATACATTTCGCCACCGGCATCTCGCAGCAGCGTGCATCCTCATCGCCACCGTGGAGACTGCCTGCAACTGGGCGGAATCTAAGCGGGCGAAGAACGTTTACCTATTGGTTCAAGACGAGGCGTCATAAGCCACCGAGCCCGCCACGTGCATGGCTTTGCAAACCTTGCAAACCTTCGTACGCAGCGGGGGCAGGGCAGTCTTTGTTGGTGATCGGAAGCAGCTCGGACCAGTTAGAAAGGACAGCATGGCAGCCGCCAGCGGGTTCACCTCCACACACGACCGATTCGTACAACAAACGAGCGGGGACACACACGCGCTTGCCCCTGTCTGGCCAGTGGGCACCGGTCACACCCCAATCTTGTGATGGAAATGGAACCATTTCTATTGCTGGGGGCAGCTCGTGAACGGCACAAACGCGGGAACCAGACCACCCATCTGTGGCATCCCATGGGTTGGGGTAAGACCCCTGACGGAAAAATCGGCCCGACCCCGTCATCCCACCGACGGATCCTCACTTCCATGAAGGCAAGGTACGCAGGCGAGGGAGCGGATGTCCGCAGGACGCTCGTCGCTCATGTTGCAGGGGAAGAGATCACAAGGAACAAGTCGAAGGCCAACCTACACGAGGCCAAGCTCTTGCTGTACATCGTCGAGACACTCGCGCCAGACCTCCTGAGGAATGGTTCGGAATGGGCAGACACACACTGCTCGTCGTGGCACCCCACGTCATGCAGCTGGCGGTGATCTCAGCTGGTTCCCCATGCACAATCTCGGACACTCCAGTCAAGGACACCCACAGGCCACTACAGCCTCGAAAAAAAGAAGGACAAGAAGGACGCTGGGGTGGAGAAAATCTCAGCCATGAGCAGCACGAATGTGGCGACGGAAGATATAAAGGAGGAGCGGGTACAGCCGCGCGACTGGACCAGTACAATACTGGGCACGACCCGCGAACAGGGGCGGGTTCTGCTTCAAAAGCCCATGCGAACGACTTCCCGAAGGATACGGCCCAAACGTCATGGTTGGATCGGTGGAAGCCACGCAGAGACAGGAAGCGGACCTCGTCATCGCCACAACGACCTGGTCCAACGACGACCACGATCTTGGGCTCTTGAAAGATTGTCGCCGCATGAACGTCCTGGCTTCTCGGGCGAGGACAGGACTCGTCATCATTACCAATCTGGACCACTGGCCAGCCGCCAAGCTGGCGGAGCTCCCCGAGCACCTGGCCCATTACGCGAGGGCGAAGTGCACGGTCAATCTTCATGTGAAGAACGGGCAGGTGATCGCTCTGGATCTCGCCTTAAGCAAACTCAACAGTCTGCTACCCATCGGCAGCTCGGAGGCCGAAATTCAAGCGCAGCAAGCTCGTCACGCCAGCGAGGCTGATCTTAGTAAGCTGCGAACCAGGCAGGAAGACGCCATCCAAGCTCGCAAGTTCACGGAGGAGGTCAGGACTGGCCTGCCCCTGGGCACTGACAAAAACCAGCTCTGCGAAACGCTTCGCCAAGCAGCCCAGACGCTAGTCAACTGTCCTGGTTTCCCACCAGCCTTGGCACGCATCTCCAATGTCCACCCGTACCGGGACACACAGCGACATACAAATGCCTCGCGACCACGTCAGGAAGGAGTGGGCCAGCCACGGGGCACTCAGGAACGGGTGGTCTCACGACGCGGGCACCAACAACTACGCGGCGGCCATGGCGGTAATTCAGCAGCCCCTGCCCGGCCATACGCACTATTTAGGCGCGGATCTCATGCTCATCCCAGACGAGGTCATCGAGCACATCGTTGAGGCACTCCTGGCGTTAGGTTACCCAAGTAGGCTTATGCTGCAGAGGGCTCAGCAAGAGCTTGGCAAGCAGGCAGGACATTCGGCCAGCGAATGGACTGACCTCCACA